CTCACAGAGGTATTTTGAAAGGCTAAGCAGAGAGGAGCTAGTCTTAAACCAGGGGGGGACTCAACTTGGTAGAGAATCTCTCCAAGGTGACCTGATTGTGAATATTAAACTGACATCTTTGTGTTGCAGGTGAAGGACCTGGATAATCGAGGCTTGTCAAGGACATAAACGTTTCTTCCAGCTCCGATATGCTTCACACTGTGTGCGTCTCACTTAGGACGCCGAAGACGTTTTTTAAACATGCAGTTTATAACAGCAGAACACGACGTGATTAGAATTGTCTGGAAGTTTTGCCCTGGGCAGTATGGGCTGGGCCAAATGCAATGATTTTTATAATTCTGAGCAGGTTACCAAATGAAATGTCATGGCTTTACTTTGGTCAATTAAAGGGAGGGAATTTTTTTTTTTAAATGTGCCTTATTTGTTTTTACTTTTGACCAGCTTGAGGAATGCAGAAGTCTATGGTGGGCTGACGGGAGGACAGAAAGCAGACCTCACCCATGCTTTTGCTCCCTGAGTCAGCTCTCTGGGGGCATTCCGTCTCTCTCGCATCAGTTAAGCTGTCAAGGACTGGGTCAGATCCTACATACACTTCGTCATTTCAAAAATTGCAGCACTGAGCACAATGCCTTGCACACAGTGGGTGCTCAGTGAGTTCATACCGACGGAATAAATGTGGGACTGAAGGAGGGCCGTGTCTGGGCAGGGATGGTAGCTGCATGCCACCGCGTCTCTGCTCGCCACACGTCTTGTCCTTGGAGGCTCTTTGACTCTGTGAAGGGGAAAGGGTGGCTAGCTGACCGGATCTTAAAAATTTTCTTTGGGACTAGCAAGGGGTGTGTGTGTGTGTGTGTTTATCAGGAATAAATCAAGTGAGAATAAATCAGCAGTTTTGAAGATTCAAGGCAAACAGTGACATTATTATTCTCATTCTAAGTGAAGGGAGAAACTCTTGCACCGTTATGTATAAAACTTGGTCAGTGGGTATTTTTGAGTCAACTAAAGTATAACCATACGTATCTATTTGAAATCCAGCCCTTTAGTATTCTCACTTAACCACGACATAGCTCATGTCTCTGCTCATTTCCTTTAGTTTATGCTCTAAAACTCTTGCAGTTACGTAAAGGTGAGCTTCTTTATCCTTTAGTCTCTGCCTGTTTGTTGTCATTGTGAAACACTATCTCAATGATCTGGTTCTGACGTTCTTGCCAAATAAACTACAAGTGAGAAGGGGGGGTTGCTATTAGTAGTAGCCTGAGAATAGCGCTAGCCTTACTACAGTAGAGGGGAAGAGAAACATAAAGAAATAACTCAAACCACAGTAGTCTCGTGGGTACGTAATGTCAGGATAAACAGCTTTATGTTCAGTATAGTAGGACATTGCTATAATATAACACATATTAATGACGTATAAAAACCTCAAGTCATTTTAAAAAGTACAAGGTAACTGTTTACTGTTACCTGTTGAAGAACAGGATCAATTACATGGCTTTTAGGCAAAGCAAAATGGTGCTCCCAGAGGGTATACTCAGGTGTACTTACATACCCAGAAAACTTATCCTTCCAAACCAATTTATATACTAGATTTAGATTTGATGTAATATTTGATTTATTATATGTAAATACATTACTTGATTTATATGCAGAATTTCTCCCTAGTGGAAAGGGTTATTCTGAGTTTTATTTTTTAAATTTCTTTTTACCAACATGAATAATATTTAGAAATCATTAATGATCTTCCTCTATAATATATATGGTATAACCCTTGAACTTACCACTATAGCTGTTACTTTCTTTGATAATTTTAATTTTGTTACTTTTTAGGCTGCATAAAGCTATCTCTTTGAAAAATTTACTTTTCATTTTCATTGTTATAGTACACTTAGTGTAAAAGAAACTCAATTCTAAAAAGCAAAACAGTGTTTTCCAATTCTGGGAGACACCCTCTTTCAACTCCACTGATTCTCACATTATTTACCTCCATCTCCTTAAGTAAGTTGCTTTATTTTGCTCTGTGTTGTTGTTTTTTTTAATCTTAGGTATCATTTGTTGACTTTCTGGTGTTCAAAGTGAAGATTTATCTCTTTCACCATCCTGCTATTCCCACGGACTATTTTGAGGTTCTGTTATAGTTATGATTTAGGTTAGCGTGGTAGTTTTTACCTTACAGTTTTTCACAACTAGGCCATGTGGTATACTGTTACTACTTCACCCCACCCCACCCCACCCCACCCCCTGCCTAACTTTTTTGGAGGGAGTTTTTTTATTTTTATTTTTTTGTGCTTACTAATTTCTCCCCAAACTCTCATTCGTTTGTGCCAACTTCCTTTTAATATGTTTAGATTCATAAGGTATGTCTTAGAGATGTCTTCTGTTTGCCGGGTTCATTTGGTTTACTCTGAGTTTGCTGCACACCTCTTGGGTGGGTGTATCCTTTCACTGTCACGTTATGTATGTTAATCCCCTGACTTCCTTCTTGATTTGTCACCTCCAACTACCTCCCTGAGAAAGTGTGTAGGAGATAAAGTTCCTGAGATCTCTGTCTCCTCCTGCCACACTCAGTAGGTTGGCTAGGCAGAGGTCCAGGCTGTGAATAACTTTTCTATAGAATTATTTTGAAGGCATTGGCTCATTGTTTTCTCCCTTCTAAATGTTGAGGAATGCAATCTGTTCTGATTTTTTTTTTTTTTTTTTTTTGCATGTGTACATTCCCTCTCACTCCCACCCCAGGCCTCCTCTTATGTAGTATTTTGAAATTTCTCCAGTGTCTTGGAGTGGCTCATCCATTGTGCTGGGTAAACTTTTAAGTATGCATGGAAAGCCAAGTTCTTCAGTTCTGGGAAATTTCCTTGAGTTATCTGTGGATTTCCCCCAATTTCATTTTTCTTTCTGAAAAAAAAAAAAAAAAAAGCTATGTGGATGTTGGACTTCCTGGATTAATTAATCTTCCAATATTCTTACTCCTTTTACTATCTTTATGCTTCCTTCTGGAAGGTTTCCTAAAAAAAGATCTTTGTAACTTGCCTATATAGTTTCCCTGTATTCCGCTTTCAGATTTTTTAATGTCCAAGAGGGTTTTTTGCTTTAATATTCCTTTGTTTTGACTTCTTTTCCTATTAAAGGCCTTTTCAAACTCTTGGTTGTCTGCTCTTTTTAAGAGTGGGATCCTAAAAAGTTGATTGGAAGGTCTGTTTGGGGAGAGGGGTCTGGCTCATTGAATGTGGGCCTCACTTCTGTGGTCTGGCTGAGTTGTTCCATTGGGAAATCTGTAGATCTTTCCTTTTACATAGGTAACGTGCCCTTGAGAAGGCTTATTTATCCTCTAAGGATACAAGCCAGGCTGCCAGATTAAGAGGAAAGGGCAGAAAGAAGGCTTAGAAGTTCAGCCTTCAGTGCATAATCTCTCTGTTTTCAGTAAGGCGCCCAATCCTCTAATTGTGCCTGATGCTCTCCAGCTCACATACCATGTATTACCCTCCGGTTTTGTACCGGCCTGGGGTTGGGGCGGGGCAGTTCTTTGGGTACACAAAGGGAGAGGATCCAGCTAAGAAGCATTTGCTTCTTAGTGGTCTTTCAGCTTACCCCCTTTCAACCCCACCTTCACCCACATTTCAGTTACCTGGTGTCACTAACTCGAGCCTTCTGGAAGCTCTGATGTAAATCGAGTTGCTTCTCAGTGCTCCCATTGCTGGCTTCAGCATTCATCTTTGTTTTATCTAAAGACTATCCATTTGCCAGCCTTGTTTTTCATATTCTGCTCTTGTGCCTTTAGAGGCTCTTGTGTGCAGTTACTTCCCCATGTGCTGTCTTTAACCCTGTATTCTGCCCAAAATCTCTATACCATTTTCAAGCGAAGATAACTAATTCCACCCAGAGACATAGAAACTGAGCGGGTCCTCCTCTTGGTTTCTTCATATTCTTTGTAACACACTGCACATATCAGAGAAAATGTAGTAAATGACCTGAAAACTTAATTCATTACATGAAGCCTAACCTGTGATGTCATGGTTCAACACTTCTCGGTTGTTCTGGGCTTGTTGTAAAATGAGGGTTTTGTTTTTTTTCCCCCCAAAATTAAATTTACTGGGTGACAGTTAATTATACAACATATTTTACACTTATTTTACTCCATTACCGGTAACACAACCGAGCTAGTTATGCTCAGTGCATGTGGCCCGGTTTTCAGAACCGGAGAACTTTATGGAGTTCTCAGTCGTTTACTGTCAAGAGGGAATACCTAGTTCAGTTTTCCATATTTTATCCTCAAGCAGGCTCCTTTCTCCAGAATGCACTTTCTCATGTAAACTAGTTACTCTACTTTTATAGTTGGCATTGTGAAATGAGGCAAAGCAATCTTTTCGTTCCATCCGGCTGTTTCTTGCACAGTGAGAACGAGATCAGGTTGGACTAAGCTATGCAGATGCCCTTCTTCCAAAACGGTGGGGCTAAGGTGCTGCTCTGGAGCGGGTTCAAGAAACACTGGGCAAAACCGGTCATCCCCCCACTACCGCAAACTACAAGAGATTGCACCGGCTGCTTTCCCAGCTGGTTCTGGAAGGACCAGGTTCTGGGCTCCCCGCAACTTCCTTCGCCCCTTCAGCATTGCTTCTCAGCACCCGTTCCCAGCTTCTCGGCTCGAGCTCGGTCTGAGCCGCACTGGAAGGTGACAGAGTGACCATGGGCCACACACTCCTGTCCCGTAGCGGAGCAACTGTGCGAAGGTGCCAGGACCGGACAGGCGGCGCGCACGGGCAGAAACGCAGCCATGCGCGCTCGGCTCCAGCGCCGCCCAGGACGAAGACGCCTTTGGGCTCACAGAGCTATCGCGGGGGCGCCCTCGGCAGCCAGGGCCTCCTCCGGTCCCCAAAGGAGCCCGGGCCTCGCTGCTGAAGCCCGTAGGATCAGAGCGCCGGCCACTGCAGTGGCCACCCTTCCAAACTTGGAAAACAGGAAAGCGCGCCTCCCTGCTTTACGGCAAGGGCGCCCACGTTTGCGGCAGTGTGACGCTGCCAGTTTTGGCGGGAAAAGCGCTGCATTTGGATTGCTGTGGTGGCAGGCAGAGGACGGTCGGGTGAGGAAGGCGGCGGACAGCGTAGCAAGGGGGTCTGCAGAGGAGTTCGGGGTCCGCATTGGATGCGGGGGACACGGCAACGGGTTCAGGGCTCGGAGACTCTCCCGTGGAGGGGCGGTTCCAGAGAGCAGAGGAGGGGGAACCGGGGGTCCCGGGGTCCCGGGACCTGGGTGGTAGAGGGACTGCAGACGCCACCCCTGGGCTAGTCTGTGTGCCACCCTGCCCTCCCTTCCGCCTCTCAGGGCAGGCTGGCCCCGCCCCGGATCTCCCCGGCCTAGGGGACGTTAAGGGGGCGGAGAGGAGGAACTGCGGTGGTTCTAGCTACCTTCCGCTCACCTCTCACCTGCCTCCCCATCCCCCAGGAGGCACCGGCCCCGGGGTTTCATCACCACCACTGCTCTGTCCCCTTCGGGGGCAAGAACGGCCGCGTCTGAGCATGCAGTGTGCGCGCCAGTGGATGCGCACGGGACCCAACCCCCCAGTTTAGGATACTGGCCTGTGGTTTAGACCGGGGCGAAATATGGGTGATGAGGTGCCAGGGGAAACCAGAGCTGTTATTTATATTGAGGGCTCCTGGTAGGACGCGGAGCCCCGCGGCTTCCCAAGTGATGGGAGCTCGAACTCATCTCGCGTCTTTTCTGGTGCCTGCCCCTTGCAGCCCGGGTGCCCCGCGGAGTCATGGCAGTGCCCTTCGTGGAAGACTGGGACCTGGTGCAGACGCTGGGCGAAGGCGCCTACGGAGAGTGAGTCGGCGCCCTTCCCACCCCCACCCCTGTTCATTTTAATACACTGGGCGCTTAGAAAACAGATCTCTGCATTTGAAATCCAAAACCTGTGGGTACTGAAGCTATACGATCTTTTGTAAGGACTTTGTTTTGTTTTACATTTTCTTTGTAAAGAGCTAAAAGGGACCGCTAAAGTCAGTTTCTCCTGCCACATACTCCTTCCTGTGGTTTAGGCGTAATGCTTAAATGAACTATCACATGGAGTTTGACTGCCTGGCGCCAGCCACATCGTCACTCTGTCACCTGCCCTGCGGGTCATTGTTTTGTTCTTAGGCAAGCGTCTTAATGTCCTTGAGTGCCTCTGTTTTCTTAGCTGTAAGATGGCAATGATGGTGCTGACCCCATGGGTGCGTAGAACAGTGACCACAGGATTAATAAACGTTGGGTAATGTTACTACAATTGAGTGAGTAGAGGATGTGTATTCATGATGGGGCCTAGCATGGCTATTACCCCATTTTATTTTCTCAAGCGTTTGTTCAGTGACTTTTGGTTGTACAGCATATGACCGGCATATTCTGTCTTGGTGCATTTGTTTGTACCTCACCTTTCAGAAAGGAGTCGTATCTTTTGAGAATATGGCAGGAACCATTCCCATGGTTTCTCCTTGGTGGAGGAATTTGACGAAGGTAAAATAGTGTTGGATGGGTCGCGCTGAATCTTTTGAGGTTGTAAAAAGAAATGGAATTCATGTGTCTGGAGTGTTATACCTTTTCCTTTCTCTTTGTAGAGTCCAACTTGCTGTGAATAGAAGAACTGAAGAAGCAGTTGCAGTGAAGATTGTCGACATGAAGCGTGCGGTAGACTGCCCAGAAAACATTAAGAAAGAGATCTGTATCAATAAAATGTTAAATCACGAGAACGTGGTGAAGTTCTACGGCCACCGGAGAGAAGGCAACATCCAGTATCTGTTTCTGGAGTACTGTAGTGGGGGAGAGCTTTTTGATCGCATAGGTATGGAAAAGATTTAAGATAATTATTCTGCTAAAGAAGTCTCTAAATTTGTTTTTTAAACTTGGGTGTGCTCCTTGGTCAGTGTCCACTCAGAATTGCAACAGAGAAATTGAAGTAAATTGTTTTGTTTTTGCTTCTTAACACCTGAAAGCGTGAAGTCAGTAAAGAAAACGATCTTCCCAAGTTTTCTAAGTGATTTGGGTTGGTAATGTTGTTTTGTGGATTTTAAGAATGATAAACTAATCCCGTGGGGAAGTATTATAAATGAGATGCATTGTTCGCCTGTACAACTTTTTGTAGACACTAGTTACATGAAATCATTGCATATATTTACAGATCCCAAATAATAGCATGTTGTTATGTTTCTTCATTATTTGTTTACATGAAATAATTTACAGTTTTCTATGATTGCTGTTATGTATACGAAGTAAATTCTGTTTCTGCTACTTGAATGTTCTGTGTAGACTCAAAGGCTTGATGTTATAGGACGCTGAGAAGTACATAAAATATATTCTGTGGTCCTAAATTTATTATTTAAAGCCATCATATTAACAATTAAAATTGGTTTTTAGAATCTCTAGTATTTAATCTCAGGAGAGAGTTGAGTGTAAAAGAAATCAAGAATTAATAAAGAAGATCAAGATAGAATAAAATAACTGACAGTGGAACATTTCTTAATAAAACTGTGTTTTGTAAAGAAACTTCACTGGCATTCGTGACTGTTTGGTGTGAGAAGTCAAATATGAAGTTTAAATCTGTCGTTAAATGTTTAGTGACATTAGCTTAGATTTGCCTAAGCTTCCACTTTGGCAATTACATTTCAGGAGTGTAAAAATACGGGCGTAATGTTTTGATGAAATTAGGGGAGAATCTGAAAGCTCAAATCATGGTTAATATAAGATAAGCAGGGGCTTTCAAGGGGTGGTTTGCATTCTTGGTTTGGATAATAGTGTGTTATTTCTCTCTGTAATTTCCCTGTAATGTTAATTTGTTTTTGCCACGTAACAGATGGGGAAATTTGAGTTACTAAGTTACTAAGTTAAGAAAGAAGAGTTATTACTCATTGTGTTACTGGACTCCAGAGTCTTTTGTTGGCATAAGATTGTGCTTGCTGAGGTCCAGTCATAAATGTTTAATCTTAGAAATAAGAAGACTCTGTGGTTGATTCCTGATTATACGTACCTGGTAAACTAACTTTCGTAATTGATTCTCATAGAGCCAGACATAGGCATGCCCGAACAAGATGCTCAGAGGTTCTTCCACCAGCTCATGGCAGGGGTGGTAGGTGCAGCTGTCTCATTTCCTTTTACTTAAAGTTAGCATGAATGAAGTCAGTTACCAAATTCTGATATGGTTCCCTTTGCTTTCCACTTAGGTTTATCTGCATGGTATTGGAATAACTCATAGGGATATTAAGCCAGAAAATCTCCTATTGGATGAAAGGGGTAAGTTTAGCATTTTGTCACTGCTACCTAAATTATTTTAACACAGCCAAAGAAGGGTGTTTCGAGGCTTTTCCTTTAGTGACATTTCAGGGCAGACCATCTGAAAAGTCTTGGGAATTTGGGTGACTTGTAGTATATTTAGACTTCACAAGTCCTTCATGATGTTGTGGATGAGATAGGGAAATCTAAGCTGGATGCCAGGGTAGCTCCCTAGATGAACAGCTATATGAATAGTCTTAAACAGCTCTTTAATGAATTAAGTGAATGTTTTTATTGGAATAGCCTGGACTTTAGCTTTGCCCTGTTTGTACTTTTTAATCTGTGACTTGGGTAAAGGTGCAAGGAGTTGGGTCATATCTTATGGATGAAACTGAGAGGGTATATAGTGAAAGTGTTAGTTTGTAGAATAAGGATCTACGAAGATGACAGAAGTGTCAGCTGCATGAGCTAATGATTTTTGTCTGTTTTGTTTAATGCTGTACTTAATGCACTAGAATAGTGCCTGGCACATAGTAGGCTTTCAAAAATATTTATTGAATGAATGAATTTAGCAGACCAGAGAGGTGAGTCAGATTTAGTGAGTTGTTTTCCATTAGGGAAAAATCTAAAGTCCAATATCTGGATTGAAAAAAGTACCAGGTAAGTACTGTTGAATGGCCTATCTTTGGCAGCAAAATAGGTTAAAAGTTCGTAACAGTCACCAGTGTTAATTTGGTCATTGGGAAGCTAAGGTGAGGCCACACCACAAATAATGGGTATCCTGGGGAAATACTGTAGGAGGCCTGTGGGCCCCTGAAGTACTTTTGTAGGAGAGTGACCAGAATGATGAAAGGTATAAAACTTTGTAAAATAAGGAATAATTGAAAAAACTCAGGGAAACCTGCTAACTGTTCCATACAGTTCTTCCGAACACTTGAGGGGAAACTGTGCAGAAGCAACTTGCATTGGTGGTACAAGATGACCCCTCTTAATGGGTCTGTCCAGAAAAGGAGTAGGTTGCTTTGGAAAACAGTGGATTTGTAACTTGTGAGTCAAACACTGGATTGTTGATTGTTAGGGACACTGGGAAGGGAATTGAAACATTGCTTGGAAAGTTGGACCGAAGTACTTTTAGGATCTCGTTCAACGTTGAGATGTACTGTTTTCTGGCAGGATTGTTCCCCTCAGCAGGTAACAGTGTCCTGTCTCATCTGCCTCTTCCCGACTTCTTCCTGAGCTCCCTAGTAGACCTCCATACAAGGGGCTAAATTAAGAAAAGCCAGCCCTGGCTGGCATAGCTCAGTGGATTGAGCACGGGCTGGGAACCAAAGTGTCGCAGGTTCGATACCCAGTCAGGGTACGTCCCTGGGTTGCAGGCCATGACCCCAAGCAACCACACATTGATGTTTCTCTCTCTCTCTTTCTCCCTCCCTCCCTTCTCTTAAATAAATAAAATCTTTTAAAAAAAGAGCATTTAAAAAAAAAAAGAAAAGCCAGCTTGTATAAATAACAGAGATATGAACGTGTAAAAATATCTGGAAAACCGAAAACTTTGTTCCCAAACTAAAAATATTGGGGTTTTTTTTCTTTTTAAAAATAAAATGTGATCATGAAATGAGATTAAAAGTATAAAGAAGAAAGTGAAAAATCACCAAAAACCCACCAGTCAGTTAACTGTTTCAGTGAGTACCTTTGTTCGTGCTTTGGTGAATATCTTCCAGCAATCCTTGTATTAGGTCATTTACCAACCTAGCTACTTAAGAGCCTCCTTTGGTTATTTAGCTTTCTGTAAATTGTTTCATAAGGCACATAGCAAAATTTTAGATAATAAAAAAATTTGGTATATAGGGGAAAAGGAACTCTAGAGCAGCCTGTTGATGAACCCTGAGAAAAGAAAGCACAAGCTGGGGGAGTTCCCTTTGCTTCTATTTTTCATTCCGTTACTTTTTGAATACTAAAAGCCTTGATGGTGTTGTAATCAGTTCTCCTTCCTCATCTAGAAATTAAATGCCAGTTTCAGTCTACATAAAATCCTATGAAAAAGATGGATTTAAAAAGAAAAAACCCTGGCTGATGTGGCTCAGTGGATTGAGGGCCAGACTGCAAAGCAAAGGGTCGCTTGGTTTCCATTCCCAGTCAGGGCACATGCCTGGGTTGCTGGCCAGGTTCCCAGTAGGGGGAGCTCTAGAGGCAACCACACATTGATGTTTCTCTCCCTCTCTTTCTCCTTTCCCCTCTAAATTTTTTTTTAAATCTCAAAAACTAAATGAAAAGCCATTTAAAAAAGGAAAGAAAGAAAAGAAGGATTGCATGTCTCTAAATATGGTAGGCAGTATAGCATAGTGTTAAAAGTTTGAGCTCCAGAGTCATTGGAACCGAGGTTTGATCTAGGCTGCCTCTTAGGGTCTGTGGCCTCCGGTAAGTTGCTTCACTTCTCGCTCTGCCTCACTGTCTTCATTTGTAAAATAGGAATAGTAAGAGTATCTACTTGGGCTGTGAGTATAAAGGAGATACATACGAACACCAGTGTGCCCCCCAGCTTAAACAATGAGACCTTACACGTGTACGCACTGCTCACAGCTTTGTGTTTATAATAGCAAAAACTGGAAACAACCTAAATATCTCTCAGCAATAGAACACATAAATTACAAAATGGGTGAATTATAGCTACAACTAATTACGTGGATAAAATTCTGGAATGTGATATATAGCAAAAACAATGGTAGAAGAATTCATACAAGTATGATTCTGTGAAGTTCAAAAATATATAAAACCAAATATATTGTTTAGGAATACGAACATGGAGAAAATCACAAGAAAGGGCATAATAAAACTCCGAATGGTGGTTATTTCTGAGAAGGTAAGGGAGAAAATATATTTTGGGAAGTGTTTAAGGGGATTTCAAAGGAGATAAAAGTTCTTAACACTGGGCATTGGGTGAGTGGGTGTTCATTGTATTGTTCTTCGTCTTGCATCTTATTTAAATACTCTTTTATTTCTATCCAATAATAATAATCTTAAAAAAATAAAGCATTACCAATATAGTTGAAGTCCTCCTGTATATTCCTTCACAGGTATACCTCCCTTTTTCTCAGAAATAACCACACTCTTTAATTTAGAATTTATTATTAGCAGTTCTCTAACCTGTTTTATGTTGCAAATATAACAAAAGAACAAAATCCAAGGAATACTGTGGTCATCCATTAGTGTTTTCAGTGATCAGTACTAATAAGTGACTTGGGACGCAATCTCAGTGATTTATTAAGATTGTGTCACATGTAAAGGTAATTGCAGGAGGTACCTTCCAACTCAAATACAGGTAAACGTCATCAATGGCTTACATATTATATTGTGCAGATATAAGTGATTTTTAAAGAATCCTCCTATTTTGGGACAGTAGCTTGTAGCTTTTAAAAACAAATAAAACAGTGATGACTGTTCTATGAATTTGAGCACAGACCCAATATAAAAATTGGGTCATGTTATGAATACTTGTTATGATGCTTGCCCTTTTTTCCCCTTATACCCAGTTTTATGTCAGAACATGTAAATATACCTTTTTAAAAACAATTACTTAGATAGTTTCATTGTGTACATTTATGATAAGATTTAATCACTTCTTTATTGGTGGACATTTAAGTTATTTACAAGTAACACTGCAAGAATATCCTTATGTTTGTGAGTTTGTAGGTGTATGTATTTCTTTGGATGTAGTCCTAGAAGTAGAAATTGATAGTTGAAAGAGTGTGTGAATGTTTCAGATTTTGACATCTTTTGCCAGATTACCCTCTAAAGAGGTTGAAAATAGGGAACCTTCCCTAACCCTAAGACTAGATTCCTTTGCTACAAGGTTTTAAAATGTTCTGTGTCTTCCTGACCTGCACAGCAGATGTCTGTGGTTGGTCTTCTTTAGTAATTTCTCTCCCCGCATTGGCTAGCGCAGTGTCACTCCGTTCCAGGAGACTCTCACTGGGCGGGAGTTAAACTGAAGGTTCTGCCTGCAGTTTTTGTGTGTTGAAGATGGGAAGTTAGAGGGGGAGTTTGCCTTTCTGGTTTGTTTTCTATACAGAGTTCCTCCTCCTTTTCTAAACTTACCCATTTCAACAGGAAGTTCTATTGGTTTGTAGATCTTTAGTCTTGGTGTGTCTTTACATAGAGGAGTGGGCAAAAGTAGGTTTACAGTTGTGAGCGTGTGAAACACAGAGTGAATAAAGCGATGGCAATAATCGTAACCCGCGTGTCTTTTTCCATATGAACAACTGAAGCCTACCTTTGCCCACCCCTGTATTTTCTTCCGGCCGGCAGGGCTTGTTTGCTGCTGGCGAAGTTGTGCCTGAGCATCACCGATGCCTCCTGCCCGCTGCACTCCCCAGGAAGGGCTCGGCTCTGCACTCAGCACTGGTCTGGAGTGGTGCCCTTTCCAGAAGGGCAGGCCCTTTTGGCTCCAGGGTCTTTCTTTAATTCGTTTTGTGCATCGATGCTATTTCTCTGAGTAGAAGCGATGAGTCCTTTCGCTAATTCTAGCTAGAGGATGATGTCTTATTTCTTCTTTTTAAAAATTGGTCATTTTAAGGTAGACAAGTTCTATAAACCTTAAGTAACACCAGTGATTTTCCAATAAAACTTAGTTTCTTTAAATATATCTAGTTATGAAACATTTGTACCCAGTGCCATCTCTTTTTCCTTGGTGTAGATAACCTCAAAATCTCCGACTTTGGCTTGGCGACAGTGTTCCGGCATAATAACCGGGAGCGCTTGTTGAACAAGATGTGCGGGACTTTGCCTTATGTGGCTCCAGAACTCATAAAGAGAAAAGAGTTCCATGCAGAACCCGTTGATGTCTGGTCCTGTGGAATAGTACTCACCGCAATGCTGGCTGGAGGTGAGAACTGTTTCTTCGTGAGAGAACTCCTGTCCTGTGGAAAGACAGATCTGTTATACCAAGATCAATGAAAGAAACCAAAGGCATCCATATTTATATGACAGTATTTTAATAGTGAGTTTTTTATAACTAGGTTGGAACTTCTAATCCCAACAGTTTTAAAAAATGAATGAAATACCACAGTAGCTCTTGCTTTGAAGATTCATGTGAATACTTTTGGGAGGGGTAAGGCAGGACGTGGTTTGTGCATCTTTGAGTACCTCTGAAACTTCTGTGAGTTGGTGCTCTTGGCTTGAACACTGTATTGAATTAACCTGCAAGAAATGGACTCGTATTGTTGATTATTTTTCCTTGGAACCTTTGCTGCATAATGATCTGAACACTCAGGAAACGGGGACTTGTTTCCTTTTCAGAGTTGCCGTGGGACCAGCCCAGTGACAGCTGCCAGGAGTATTCCGATTGGAAAGAAAAGAAGACATACCTCAACCCTTGGAAAAAAATCGACTCTGCTCCTCTAGGTAACTGGGTTGTCCTGATTGAAAGCACTGATTTGGATAATGAAGCGTATTACTGTTTGATTTTTTTTTTATTACATGTTTTTAACTTTTAAATAATCGGGTAAATAATCCATGATTCTTGTAGATAAATTTAAACATAAAAAATAGCAATTTTTTAAAAAGTCCTATAATCCCTCAGAAATAGCTCCTTCTAGTATTTTGATATGTGCTTCTGTACTTTGTTGTAAAAACATAAAAATATGTAAGTACATATATTGGTTACATATGTATACTCTTCATATGTAACATTTGTTATATATGTATACTATTTGTGTTTTTATTAAAAATGGGATCACACTACATATACATGATACTTTGTAGCTTTTTTGTGTTAATGCTTTGTGAACTTTTCCATGACTGCAATTACAGGCCCACATCATTGTTTTGTAGGTATCCTGCTGAATGGATATTCCTTATTACACTGATCTGGTTCGCTTTGTTAGGGATTTAGATTTTCTTCCTAATTTTTCACTGTTATGAAAGATATGATGATTATCCATATAAATTATTAATCAAAATAAAACTCCAGATGTGGAATTGCAGGGTCAAGAATATATGTACTTTTTAATTATTCTGGTTTACTTTGCCAAGTTGCTTTTCAGAAAGTTCATATCATTTCATCACAGTCTCATTAATTTACATTAAAAAATATTTAATCTGATAGACCTATAAAAATATATTCACTGTTTTTTGTTATTTTAAATTTAGTACTAATGAAGTTATATATCTACTATGTATTTATTATTTTTTTTAATATATTGTGATAATGTTTTCGCATTTATTAACTTTTTATTGAATTTGCTGGGGTAACATTGGTAACAGAATGACACAGGTTTCCGGTGCCTGGTTCTCTAAGGCATCATCTGTGCACTGTACTGTGTGCTCACCGCCCCAGTCACGTCTCCTTCCATCACCAGTCACACGCCTTGTCCCTCTCCCACCTCCTGTCTTTGCATTTATTACAAATATTTTTCATAATTTGTCATACAGTTTTATTTTATGCTATTTTGACATGCAAAACAGCTTACATTTTTATTTATTTAAATCTCTTGTCCTTTGTGGTTCCTGACTATATTGTCAGGTTTGGAAAAGTCTTTTCTACTCTATCACTAGAAAAAAATTTCCTGTGTTTTTATGACTTCACTTTTTTCAGTTAAGCCTTTTGTCCATTAGAAAATTATTTTTGTGGTAGGAGATAGTTGAGTTCCTTGTCAAGATAATTAAGACACCTTAAGATACTGGAGAGTAAATTTTTTTTTTAAACTGCATGAATGAGGACTTAGCATGACAGTGGAACAGGTTTGACATTGCATGGGTAAGAGAGTTTTTTGTATATTTTTGTTAATGTCCCCTGGGGAGAAACATTTCTACCTGCCCCGTAGGCTACTTTTTACCAATAATTGAGGCTCAGATCTGGGCATCGTGTCCTAAGGTGTAGACAGTAGCCAAGGACAACTGTGTGAAAGGAACTCCATAATGCAGTAGCTTTAATAGTTTATTCTTTTTCTCCCTCGCACGTAATATTTAGACGTAAGGAGACCAAGAGAATGTTCCATACCACAGGCTGCAGGCTTTTCTGTTTCGCGTGACTCTTTTGTAAATGTTGTCTCGGGGTTTTGTTTTCAGCTCTGCTGCATAAAATCCTAGTGGAGAACCCATCAGTAAGGATTACCATCCCAGACATCAAAAAGGATAGATGGTACAACAAAGCACTCAAGAAAGGTAATGTCCTTCACGTACAAGTAGTTTTTTCTGTGAACATAAAGAACTTGCAGAGTCGCTATCACAAGCCAACAGCACAAGACAGCCATATAGAGTTGAAAGTCAGGGCACTAGAGCTAATTGTGTGACCAAGTCTTAAGTGACAGAGAAAACTTGTCCTCCTGAGGAAATCACGTTACATCTCAGGTTTGAAGACTTAAAGGGGAGTTAGCCAGAGGAATACTGACAAGATAAGTGGCACATTCCGAACAGGGGGAGTGGCCTTGGGGACGTCTTGAGGTTGAGAAAGTGGGTATTTGAGGAACTTGAAAGAAGGGCCGGTAGGGTGTGGACCACGTCCAGCTTGTACACCCATGTTTCCCCAGTGGTTGCAGCGTGTGGTCATCAGAGGCACTCAGCATGTGCTTGCCGAGTGAACCACTGCACAGCGCAGGGGAGAGGTCAGAGACCGGGCGGGGGGAGGTAGATGTCAGCACGTGCTTGCCCAGTGAACCGGTGCACAGCGCAGGGGAGAGGTCTGAGAGGAGGCGGGGGAGGTAGATGGCAACCAGGTTGTGGAGGAGGACCTTCTAAGCCATGTGACCTTGTAAGCCATGTTATAAATTTTGTTACAAATTCTGTGCTTTCCCTTAAGGCTGTTGGGGAAACCTTTGAGAGATTTTAGAAAGGAAATGACATAATCATATATTCGGTTTTAAAAGCTCTTTCTGGCTACTTTTTTCCCCATTGCTTTTGATGTTTTTCATCCTAGCTGTGAGAAGATGGTAACCTGGACTAGGTTGGTGACAGGGGAATTGGAGAGAAGGGACAGAGTCCAAGGAAACCTAAGAACTTTAATGGACAGGGCTGGTGGTGGTGTACGTGTGGGAAAGGAAGAGCATGAGGCATCGAGGACGATTCCTTTCTAGTTGGAACAACTGTACATAAATGGCGGCACCATTTGCTGGATGTAGCTCAAGAGGAAACAGACTTGGGGGGTCTGTTTCTTTGACTGCGGACGTGTTGCATTTGAGAAGCTAAGTAAAACTGTCAAATTAGGTGTGTGTTTGTACCGGGAGACAGGACTACACTTCAGATGTCAATTTAGGTGTTTTCTTCAAGTAGATGGTAATGTAGTCAGTGGTCGGTGATGAAATTGGGTGTATGACAGAATGCTAAGGACCGCCAGCATTTAAGGGGCGGGTGGAGGCCAGGGGCGGAAACGCTGGTCCAGTGTACCCCATCACGTGGCGGGAGCAGTTCCGGGGGAGAGTCGGGAGGTGTTTCTGGAGCACGGTGTTTGCACAGGGACTGGAGTCCGCGCGAGGGGGAGAGCAGATTGTAGACGGCCCAGTCAAAAAGCACGGCTGAGAGGAGACACCAGCTGGAGGCAGATGGGGAGTCTTTAACCCTTCTCTGGATGTTTTTTCAGCTTTCACCTTACTTTATTTGAAGTCCAGCTCTCCCCTGAGGGCACTGCTGCATCTGAAATAGTAGATGTTTCTCCCACACTCTTGTGCCTTGGATTTGGGGGTGAGGCAGGCATCCTGTTTTTCCTCATTGTCACTTTCTCCTTTCTTCTCATTTCCCCCTCCCAACCCCTGATTTATTCCAAACCTCGTTATTGGACTGCCACCACCCACCATTCCTACTTGTTACAATCACCTTTTAAACCCCAAATTAAAATTTCTTTCACGTTGTCACTCTCTCCATCACAAGGCCATGTAATTTTTGTCATGGCTCTTGGTGATTGAAATATTCATCTGGATGATCCTTCTAGTACCCTGGCCTCACGTTTTCTTGACCTTTTTCTCTGCTAGTGCTCTCTGATCTTCAGGCGTTCTGCTCTGGATGCGGGTTTATTTTTCCTCCCCCCTCTAGCACCCTAGCCCCAGCAATCTGCTGCCCCTGCCTGGGCTGGCAGTCCGTTAATTCTGCTAACTCCCGAGGTCCTGTGTTTCACCCTCACTATTTTAAAGCCTGAGGCCAGTCACTGTAATACTTGTTCACATTCACCTTCAACTTCCTTGCCTCGTTCTCTCTTCATCATACTCACAGGTAAAACCTAACCCAAGTTTTCTGTGAGCTCTACACTTACACCTGCGTAGCTCGTGGCGACTGGAGAAGAACATAAAACAATGTTCACTCTAAATTCAGGATCACTAATCCTGAGTGGGCCCTTAATTCTAGGCAGTCATAGCGCATCTCCCCACTTCTTTCATGGCCGCTCTCCTAAGTCACTTTATTTAACCTCTCCTTTTCTCTTCAGCGCCTAATACCTCTTCCCCACGCTCAGTCTTGGGGGGTGCCAGTACTTCTGTTTCACTGGGAAATAGAGACAGTCACAAGAGAACTTCCGCGAGCTCCCACCACCATCCCCCCCCACCCAGCTGTCTCTTTGCTCACAGTTGTTTTCTCCCCCGTTGCTACGGATAAGCTGCTCCACGTGCAAGCCAGTGCTGCCTCTCGTGCATGAGACCCGGTCCTCCTCTGCCTCTTCGGGGGCATTGTCTCGTCATTCTTCTCTTTCTCCCCCTCTCCTGGATCTTGTCAGCATTACCAGCACGCTGTTTCTCCTGTCTTAATAAAATGTTAGTAGGCTTACCAAAGTGCTTGAATGAATGGGTTAACAAATAAAAAGGTTGGCTAGGCTTCAGCGTGTTTGAATGGTTTGGGGACACATCCAGTTGAGAGGAGGAGGCTGGCATTCTTGGGGAGGGAGTAAAGGGGTGTCCGGGTCCCTGAGGAGACAGGAGAGGTGAGCGGGCCCAAGAACAAGTAGAGGGGTGAATGTTCGATGGGGGAGAGGATGGGCAGGAAGGCAGGTGAACCAGCAGATTCGGTAGTGCAGCTTGAGGGAGTTTCTGGTGACCCTTCTGTCTGGGAAATGAGAGGCGGTATCGTACACTAAGGAATGGGGTGCCTCCTGTGGGGTGGTTGCGGAATTTGAGGCGAGTGCAGAGCTTTTGAAACAGTCCCTGTGGAGAAAGGGGGAGGAAGCGGACTAGAGGAACGCAGCACTGAGTATCGGTGTCGAGGGCCCCGCCCCGAGGGTAGTAACGCGAATATATAGCAACTCATTTTCTGTGTGACAGTTACTCTCGTTAGAGATGTTTCAGTGGAGCACGGGATGTTGGGTAGAGCAGATTCGTAGTGTTCGTTGCCAGTATCATAAATTATTTCTTATTTTAAGAAGTTTTTATTCTTTAGCTAGGTCTCTCTGTCTTCATAGAACATTTCTCTGTCACCATAAATGGTACCGTTAACATTATGGCCTTGTACTCCACTCTTGGGACATACTTCCTGATCAGGACTTGTGCAGTTTGACAAGGGAGTCCTAGTAAGTTCATCATAACCACAGTTCTCATAAAATCTGTGTAGAAGAAGCCATTTGTTGTGTAAGTATTTTGTGTTAAGTGACTTCAGATGTAGTTTTACTGCTTCAGGTTGCCAGTTGTGTTAATTAAAAAGTTTCTGCATAGAAAACTTGAAAGCCTTTGTATTTATTTTACTTCATTGTTTGCAGGGGCAAAGAGGCCCCGAGCCACCTCAGGCGGGGTGTCCGAGTCTCCCGGCGGGTTCTCGAAGCACATCCAGTCCAGTTTGGACTTCTCCCTGGCAAACAATGCCTCCAGGTAAGATTGATGAACAAAGATCAAGTACTTGTGAAGGTAATATTCCCCTGGAAAGTAATACACGTATATATTTTATCCTAATAATGATTGTCCCTTTTACTGGTGTGAGAGTGTGTAATGTATTATAAAAAGGCCTGGCAGATTTTATTCCAAGATCGATTTCTCCCCACATCCTAACACGCCAGTGAAGAGAAGGTGAGGTGCTCCAGCTCCCAGCCTGAGCCGCGGACAGGCCTCTCCCTGTGGGACACCGGCCCCTCGTGCATCGATAAGCTGGTGCAGGGCATCAGCTTCTCCCAGCCCGCGTGTCCGGATCACATGCTCCTGAACAGCCAGTTGCTGGGCACCCCGGGGTCCTCACAGGTGAGAGGATTTAGTTTTCAGCTCAATAATGGAAGCCGTGTATTTTTTATTGTCTTAAAGTCTTTTTTTTTTTCAATGTATAAATCTTAAAGTATTAATACTTCACAACAGTTTTTTTGACAAGTAAGAGATCATTAGAGGAGACCTTTATGTATGAGAATCTTAAGTCACAGAAAAGAATTTTCACACTAAATACCATAGCTATGTGACCGCTTTCGAGGGTATGAGATTAATCCTGCTTTTCCTCACTTGGCACATAGACTCCCTGGCAGCGCTTGGTCAAAAGGATGACACGGTTCTTTACCAAACTGGATGCAGACAAGTCTTACCAGTGCCTGAAGGAGACTTGCGAGAAGTTGGGCTATCAGTGGAAGAAGAGCTGTATGAATCAGGTACATCTCATCGATTTTTTTATTATACCCTTTCCTAAAGAAAAATTTAAATATTTGAGTAAAAATTTTTCATTGGTACATTTTTAAAATTTAAAGTAATTAGTTCGGTTTGAAAACTAAACAGTTGAAATGAAAGGAACTTAAGTAAAATGTTCTTTACCTTAAGAAATAATATTTCTTAAAAGATTTATTAATAACTTTAGTAAGTTGTTACAAATATTGAGACTCAAGTCATTATTCCCTTAAAACCTATATATACTTAATTGTAACAGCAGCAATTGACTCCCTTTTGGGAAAGGAATGAACACACTAACAGTCCCTCGCTCCCCCCCCCCCCCCGTGTCCTCTGCTCCCACACATCACCTTTTGTTTATATTGTTATAGCATATTTGTAACATTGACATTCTGCCTTTAGGCTTTTCAAAAACCCTCATAACATGAGAAACAAGTAAGGGACACTTTGTCGCATTAAGGGGGACCGAAGAGTCCTGATGAAGGATGTGATGTGTGATCTTCCACTGGACCGTGGACTTGAAGAAACAAAGCTATAACAAATGTTATTCGATCAGCTGGGGAAGTGTGAATGTGGGTTTTATATTAATGGTTCTGTATCAGCGTCCGATTTCATAGGTATAATCCTAAAATTGTAGTTTGTGAGAGAATGTCTTAGTTCGTAGGAGAAACATGTTGAAGTGAAGTATCTGCTCTCTATAACTTAGTTTAAAAACAAAAAAAAAAACTAGCACATAAAAAGAGACAAGTAAACACATACTTACGTAGGTCAGTAAGGTCGAAGGGCCTGGTGTGATTTATTACACAGTTCTTTCTGTTTTTCTGCTTCAAAATTAAAGTTAAGAGAAAATGCTATGTGCCGAAGTCTGAAGCCAAACTGACTTTTCTCTCACTTATATAGATAATATGGATAATTTACTCTTTTTTTTTTAAGGAAGATTTATTAAGGCAGAAGTCACATAACATGAAAATCATCACTTTAACTCTTTGAAAGTGTACCGATCAGTGGTTTTAGTATATTCACTAGACTGTATAACCGTCACCATTTAATTTCAGGATGTTTCTTCGCCCGTAGAATCAACTGCACCAAATAGCAGTTACTTCTTATTCCTCGTTCCCTCATTCCCTGGCAACCACTAGTCCACCTTCTGTCTGTGCACTGCTTGTTCTGGACTTTCCATGCAAAAGGAATTATGTGATACATGGCCCTCGTGTCTGCCTTCACGTCCTGTGATGTTTTCGTGCTGTAGCATTTATCAGAACTACAGTAGCTTTTCAGCCACAAATCTGGACTCTTTCTTTCTGATGTTTTAATAATCTTGCTTTGTTCTCATTCTGTTTTTATTCATTTTACTTCTTCTTTCACTTGTTTTTTCGGTAGCGTACTGCTTTATTTTGTTGGCCGAGAGTTCGCCCAGACCCACGCCCTGGTTATGGAGCTGTGTGCTAGTTACCGCTGGCCCAAGCAGAGCGCGCACAGCCACAGGGAGGGAGAACCCCGCAGGGGTGAGCCTGTGGGTGGGCACAGCTCCGGGCTCCCGTTGTAGAAGTGTGCGTGTCCACGTCTTATCTCAGTGGTGTCACCAACCGGGACTGCAGTTTTTATTTAGAGTTTCCTCTGCTCACACACCTGGCTTAATCTGATTTTTATTGCCTTAGGTTACTGTATCAACAACTGATCGAAGAAACAATAAACTGATTTTCAAAGTGAATTTGGTAGAGATGGATGAGAAGATTTTGGTTGACTTCCGGCTTTCTAAGGTATGTAGAACAGCATATTTAAAAAAAACAAACAAAAAACTTTGTTTCGCTTAAAGAAGTGTTTATGCATGTTCATTGTAGAAATTTTAAAAATACAAAAAAGTTTAAAGAAGAAAATGAGAATCAAATTTAATCTTATTTTCCAGAGAAAACACAGGTTTATTTTTGATATATTTCATTATAGTAGTCTTACTGCAACTAATAGTATGTACTATGGACATACTCTTATGTGGAGATTATTTTAAAATGGTACTAAGTTTACATATATGTAACATTTAGAAACGTAACTTGCTTTTTTTTATATAATATTATAAACATTTGTTCTTGTCATTATCCTAAAGTATAGCTTATGGAAATGTCATTTTCTTTGTAAAAGTTTTTGTTTTTTGTAGAATATGTAACTAAGTAATGAATAAGAAAAGTAAAATAATTCTAAATGATTTTTACCTTTAAAATAATTACCCTTAATAATTTTGAAGCATTTCAAATTTTTCGTATTGAATTTACATATCTTTTTAATAAATATTGATTTGTCAAACATATGTGCACATTATAATTAATGAACTTTTATCTGTTAATAATGCTATGATTAATATTCATAGACATAGAGTTTCATTCACATTTTTTATTATTTCTTAGAAATTATTGGTGCTGGGGTTATATGTAGTTTTAAAGCCCTTGACATGCAAGACAAAAATAGTGGCTTCTGTTTCCCGAGAGGCTGCACGCAGCCCTAAGGGAGGCTGGAGGAGGAGGTCGCGCACTCTGTGTTGGAGATGTGCAGAAACGCTGTTGTCCCAGCACTTGCTTGGTATGGAATTACATCGTTAAGAGCCTAGTGTAACAAAATTTTTGGTATCACTGAATCACTGGCTCCTTTGTCACGGTATTTTGGCAAGGCTCAGTGTAGCTGCATAGCTTCTTTTTAGTTTACAGACCTCCAGTACCTATGGAAACAATGGCTTAGGTCCAGAGATGTCAACGCTTGAAACAGACAGGATGTCACTGGGTTGCCCCTCTGAGCCCAGTGTGGCGGGAACAGCGATGGGCCTGAAGTCAAGTCAGGATGATTTATTTAGCCATTTCTTCTAAGATTTTTGACCTAATTTTTGGATATTATTCCTAATATAGGGTGATGGATTGGAATTCAAGAGACACTTCCTGAAGATTAAAGGGAAGCTGAGTGATGTTGTAAGCAGCCAGAAGGTGTGGCTTCCTGCCACTTGATCGAGCCTTTGGCTTTGGAATCCCTGGTGAATATAGTACTGCTATGTTGACATTATTCTTCCTAGAGAAGATTACCCTAATCTGCAAACTGCAAACAGTAGTCTCTGAAGAATTGTCTTCATCCTGGTCAAACACTTTCCAATATTGTTGTATGTTCTGCATAAAAATAATACCTATATTTTAATTGTAAATAAAACTTTGGGGAAGGGATAGAATTCATTAGATATTTCTTCATCTGTGTTTAGTGTCTACATTTGAGACCCACCTGGAAAACCAAGCTTTGGGGATATATGAGTTTACCAGCTTTTATACCAGTACAGTGAAGGATGATACTCTTGTCCCATATTTATCAAAATGGTTATGTTCAAAAAGTATATATTGCCTCCACATTGGGTTAAGTGGATGAATTAGTTAAAAAAAAAATTCTTGCCACTTGTGAAGCCAACTTCGGAAAATATATCCCCAAGATTTGTACTCATTCTCAAAAGGGCCCAATGACAAGGTATGTAGACTCATTCTTGAGTGATAATTTTTCATTGAAATTGAAAGTTGGTATGGTTTTCCCACTCTAGTTAATAAAATGTAAATATAAAATATTGGTTGATCTTTCAAGTAGAAGTTGAGCACAAATTCTAATGCTTAACTACATTTACTCTAAAATTACTATTGCACATTTTAAATATTTTTTATATTCTCTACTTTCACAGCTATATTTTAATTCTTTATTACAGAAATAAATTCTATTTTGAAATTGAATAGCTAACTCTGTGCACTCATTGGTGACTAAGCTTCTAGGTGGTAAGGAATAAAAGAGAAGGGAGAAATAAGGAAGCTATGATAGAAATAGATGTGATTCCTGGTTCTTTTATCTTAGATTTATTAAGACTTTGTTCTAATAAAATTTATATTACCTTGAATGCATTAGGTTGGGACTTTGTATTCATGTACTGGTAAATTGTGCCACTGCAGTATACCCATAGGAAGAATAAATTTCAACTGATAGGTGGCTCCTACAAATTGAGCCAGTAAATTCTCAGATACGAAGAAACCTTGTTTTTGAAGATTGTCAGCCATCCATCCATCAGTGGCTCTCAAAAACAGTCATCTCTGGCTTTGACATCTTACAGTCTACCTAATATTTCCCCTGGACTCATAGCCACCTCAGGACCCCAAACAACTTTTGATCCAGTGTCGCACCCCGCACCTCTCTAGTTTCCCCCATCCCAGTAAATGTTACATATGGCTTTTCAGTTGCTTAGGCCAAAACACTAGAAATCATCCTTGATGTGGTTTTCCTATTCTGCATTAAATTCAGCAACTCCTATTCAACTCAACTAATATACCCAAATATACCCCACTTTACACCTCTACAAGCATTACTCTAGTTGGAGGCGCTGTTATCTTTTCACATTACTATCTTCCCAGAGTTCAGAAGAGCAGTGAGCGATCCTTCTGAAATGTGAATCGCATTCCTTCTTTGCTCCCAGCTCTCCTGGCTTTTCATCACAGTTCAAACAAGCTTCAAACATTTGTCTGATCCACATGGCTCTGTGGGATCTGTCCTGCAGTCACCTCTTTGACCTCATCTGACACTTATCCTGCTCACTTGTGCTACTACAGCCACAATGGCTTTGCTGTTCTGCTCATAACGTGAGCACGTTTTCCCCTCAAGGCCCTTCCCTTTGCTGTTCACTTTACCCGGAGTACTTTACTTCTAATATTTGCGTGGCTTGTGCTTCGCTCTCCATCTTTACTTGTATGCTACCTCCTATGCAGTCTTCCCTGACTTACCTAGAATATCACCCCACCTCTGTCACTTTATTTTTTATTATCACGCTTACCTGACATTCTAGGATATTTTTATTTGTATATCTATTAAGTGTCTGCTTCCCCCATAGGAATATGTAGTATATAAGCTCCTTGAGGTCAGGGACCTTATCTGTCCCTATATCTCCAATACATAGAACAGTGCCTGTTATATTACAACATGCAGTAAATGGTTGTTTAATGAAGAAATAGACACTCATTTGATCTAAACTACCCTCAAAATGTATCTGGAAGCTGAATACTTCTCCATTTTTGTTGTTCCCACTGTGGTTCAGCCTCCGTCATCTCTCCTCCTGGATTTCTTAATAACAACGAATATCTCCCACTTCCTCTCTTGCCAATTCCCAGCTCTCCCCCTTCCCTCAGTCTTCTTACGTAGGTCTTCAGTCATTTTTTAAAAAGGTAAGTTGTACTATGACATTCTCTTGCGTAAAAACCTTCGGTGCCTTCCCACTGCATCAAGAATGGAATCGAAAGTCTTTGTTCTGACTGACCTGGCCCAGCATGACTCAGCTTCTGTTCTCTGTAACGTAGGCAGAGTCAGCTTCTTTCTATTTATTGAATGAGCCCAGGCTTATCTCCTTCCAGTCTTTGGCTTCTGTAGCTTCTGCAGGAAACCCCAGAATGTTTCTACTTCCTCCAGTCACTGTCACATTATTCTGTTTTCTTCAGAGAATTGATCTTTACTTGTTTCTTATTGAAGGACTCATTCCCTACTTCAAGATTATGAAAATTTTCTTGTGTATTCTAGAAAGCTTTATAATTCTGGGTTACACAGTTAGGTCTACAATCCACCTGAAAATGTTTTTTGTGTGTGTGTATGTGAGATAGAGGTCAAGTATTATTTTTGTCCTCATATGGCTATCCAGTTTAGTACTGCTAGTTATTAGGAAGATTATCCTACAGCTAGTAAAATTGAAGCAATAATAAAAAAACTGCCAACAAACAAAAGTCCTGGACCAGATGTCTTTACAGGTGAATTTTACCAAACATTCAAAAAAGAACTAACCTATCCTTCTCAAAATATTCCAAAATCTTCAAGAGGAGGAAGACTCCCAAACTAATTTTATGAGGCCAGTATTATCCTAATTGCAAAACCAGATAAAGACACTGCAAAGAAAGAAAATTATCAGCCAATACCCCTGAGGAACATAGATGCTAGACTCCTCAAGAAAATATCAGCAAACTGGACCTAGTAATACATTAAAAATACACACCATGACCAAGTGGGCTTTGTTCAGAGATCCAAGGTTGGTACAACATCCACAAATCAATAAACATGATACACCACATAAGCAAAAATGAAGGATAAAAATCACATGATTTTGTCAGTAGATGCAAAAAAAGCATTTGATAATATCCAGCACCCATCTGTGATGAAAACTCTTAGCAAAGTGAGAGTAGAGGGAACATACCTCAATGTAATGAAGCCCATCTACGACAAACCACAGCCAAAAAACACTAAAGAGGCAAAACCTACAAGCATTTCTCTTAAGGTGGGGAACAAAGGGATGTCTGCTTTCACCACTCAGCATAGGCCTGGAAGTCCTATCCATAGCAATCAGACAAGAAGACATAAAAGATGTATGAATTGGAAAGGAAGAAGAAAAACATTATTTGCTGATGACCTGATACTGTACATAGAGAACCCTAAAGATTCCACTAAAAAAAAAAAAACAACTACTACAACTGATAAATTCATTAAAGTAGCAAGATATAAAATAAATATCCAGAAATCAGTTGCATTTTTATACATCATTAATGAACTATTAGAAAAGGAAACTAAGAAAACAATGCCATTCACAGTTGCTTCCAAAAATAAAAGAACAAACCCTAGGAATTTAACCAAGGATGTAAAAGACCAGTACTTGGAAAATTCTAAGACACTGAAGAAAGAAATTGAAGAAGATACAAGTGGAAGCATATGGTATGTTCATGGATAGGAAGTATTAACATCATTAAAATGTCCCTACTACCAAAAGTAATCTATAGATTGAACACATTTTCCTATCAAGATACCAATGATGTATTTCAGAGAACTAGAACAAATATTCCAAAAGTTTATATGGAACCACAAAAGACTTCAATAGCCACAGGAATCTTGAGAAAGATGTTGGAGGAATCTCACTACCTGATATCAAACTATACTACAAGACCACAGTAATCAAAACAGCATGGCACTGGCATAAAAACATAGATCACTGAAACAGAATAGAAAGTCAGTTTTTGATAAAGGAGGAAAAACATACAATGGGGTAAAGATAGTCTATTGAATAAATGGTGTTGGGAAAATTGGACAGATACATGAAAAAAATAAACTACCACCTTCTTAACCATGCACAAGAATAAACTCGAAATGGATGAAAGACTTAAATGTAAGACCTGAAACCATAGAAATCCTAGAAGAAAACAGGCAGTGAAAGCTCAAGTACTTCTCATAGCAATCATTTTTTATGATATGTATCATCTCAGGCAAGGGAAACAAAAAATGAACAAATAGGACTACGTCAAACTAAAAAGGTTTTGCACAGCCCAGGAAACTACCAACAAAATGAAAAAACAACCCACGAATGCGAGAACATATTCACCAATGATACATCTGATAAGGGGTTAATATCCAAAATTTATAAAGAATTTATAAAATTCAAAAAAAACTTGTAAACAGGGACTTCCGGCAAGATGGAGGAATAGGTGGACACACCGTACCTCCGCGCACAACCAAGAATAGAACAACAATAATTTACAAATATAGTATCACTCAGAACTGTCAGAGGATTTATCTGAATGGAAGTCGGACAGCCAAGAAGCTGAAGTAGACCCGTACATCCAGACTGGTAGGGGACGACGAGCCGGGAGGGCGCGGGGCTGGCGCGGGTCGGCGGCACGCAGAGGTCGGGGGAAATTTGGTGCAAAATCGGCGCCACAGCAATCCCGGGCGCAAGAACGCAGCGGGGATCCCTGAGTACGCAAGCTGCGGCTGGGGAAACCAGTGAGGCAGCGATTGTGGACCAGGGCAGAGCTCGCAGCCCAGGATCCCAGGGAAGTGTCTGAGCCCAGGAGAACTGAACTGCCGCCATTGTTCGCCCCCCGCCCCCGCCCCCCGCCCCCCGCCCCCGCCCCCGCCCCCGCCCCCGCCCCCACATATAACGTCACAATCTAGCGACTGGGGTGCCCAGCCCTGGTGAACACCTAAGGCTCCGCCCCCCACCGTAACAAGAGCGACCAGACCGGAAAATAAATAAATAAATAAATAAATAAATAAATAAATAAATAGGAGAGACAGGGGAAGACATAAGACATGTTTCCAGCAGAACAGATCAGTCCCCCAGGACTCATCCTTTTGAGCGACCAAGAAATAGCCAATCTATCAGATGCACAGTTCAAAACACTGATGATCAGAAAGCTCACGGAATTGGTTGACTTTGGGCGTAATTTAGATGAAAGGATGCAGGTTACCATAAAAGAGATGCAGGAAGATACGCGGAGGAGAGCCAATAGTGAAAGGAAGGAATCTGAGTCTCAAAACAATACAGTGGGCCAGAAGGAAGATAGAATCAACCAAGCAGGAAAGCATGATGAAATAAGAATTCAAAAAATCGAGGAAAAACTTAAGAACATCCAGGACACCTTTAAACGTTCCAACATCCGAATTGTAGGGGTACCAGAAGGGGAGGAGCAACAAGTGGAAAAGTTATTTGAACAAATAATAAAGGAGAACTTCCCCAATCTGGCAAAGGGAACAGTCTTCCAAGAAATCCAAGAAGCTCAGAGAGCCCCAAAGAAGCTGGACCCAAGAAGAAACACACCAAGGCACATCATAATTACATTAGCCAAAGTAAAAACGAAGGAGAGAATCCTAGAAGCAGCAAGAGATAAGGGGACAGTAACCTACAAAGGAGTTCCCATCAGACTGTCAGCTGATTTCTCCAAAGACACCTTACAGGCAAGAAGGGGCTGGAAAGAAATATTCCAAGTCATGAAAGACAAGGACCTACATCCCAGATTGCTCTATCCAGCAAAGCTCTCATTTAGAATGGAAGGGAAGATAAAGTACTTTTCAGATAAGGTCAAATTAAAGGAGTTCATCATC